AACTGATGGCTGGTATTTATTTTCATAATAATCTCAGTCCCATTTTTTGCAAGTTAAATGGTTGGTCACTTAGTAGTAAATCTGGAAAAATCAATGGAAGTAAACTTTACTGGAAAAGCAGATTTTAATTTATACATCTGGTTACTTACCTGTACATACTCCTTTGTAAGTTGTATGCAGCTGCAAACTGAATAGAACTAGATTTGCATTGTGCATCAGTAGAGCTAGATTTTGCAGTTTGTTGAAGTAATCCATCGAACTAATAATATGGACCATGGTCGGCTGCTGCATTTTTGCCACTAGAAGGAGTTCACAGACTTTTATGTTTTTCTTTACTGTGTTTGTAACTATGTAATATGTATATAAATATACAGCTAGTAGATTGCCACAGGGAGGATTGGTTCTATGTATATAAATATGCAGACAGTAGATTGCCACAGGGAGGATTGGTTCTATGTATATAAATATGCAGACAGTAGATTGCCACAGGGAGGATTGGTTCTATGTATATAAATATGCAGACAGTAGATTGCCACAGGGAGGATTGGTTCTATGTATATAAATATGCAGACAGTAGATTGCCACAGGGAGGATTGGTTCTATGTATATAAATATGCAGACAGTAGATGGCCACAGGGAGGATTGGTTCTATGTATATAAATATGCAGACAGTAGATTGCCACAGGGAGGATTGGTTCTATGTATATAAATATGCAGACAGTAGATGGCCACAAGGAGGACTGGTTCTATGTATATAAATATGCAGACAGTAGATGGCCACAGGGAGGATTGGTTCTATGTATGTAAATATGCAGACAGTAGATGGCCACAGGGAGGATTGGTTCTATGTATACTCTCCACTATTACTATAGGTTAATGTGTTGCATACCACACTTGGGTTGTCTTCAGGATAAATCAAGGTCATGCCCATTTTATATTTTCACCACACTTTCCCTTCTGTTCTATAGCATCAAAACTATTTGAGATTAAAGAATTAAACTTGTAAATTTGTACATCATCACTAGAAGGTGTGTTTTGTTTTAAAGTGTGCTTTATCTCTTTGGCATCAAGACCACAGCTCTGTATTTTCTGTTTTTATCATTCTTTCCCATCCATTACAATACTTTATAGCCATTTGAAATTCAGGGTATTAAACTTGGTGTCATTACTAAATGGTGTGTCACATTAGGGTTGCTGTCTTGAAGGTCACAGTCACAGATCACTATATCAAGTTTTCCATCCATTTAAGATAAAGCCCAATGCCACAATTACATGCAAAAAGTCGTATATGCCAAATCATCTTAATAATACTGTATCTGGAAAGATGTTGGTCCTAAATATTATATCCAGATAATAATAATTCCTTCTTTCCAAGCTTTTGTTTGATTGGAAGAATGGTGAAATAAATGGAAAATAGTAGAATTGGGGCTTTGAGGGATAAAATTTTGTATTCTTGTAAATCATCAATAGAAAAATATTCAAGATCAAGGTCACAGCACAATATTGTATGCTTCTACTCCATATCTTTAAAGCTGCTTGAAATTAAGGAATGAAACTTCACATACTTTTACACTATTATTTCAATTTGTATCACAATCTTATCTTCAAGGTCAAGGTCACTGCTCATTATTTTAAGTTTTTCATTATTTTGTTGTCAGCTCCATTGAACTTTCGAAGATGTATTGATTTGCATGTTTGGGTCTAGCCCTGAAGGTTAATTATTTATGGGTTTATTTTCTTGTGCTTTCAACTGAGAAAACATTTTGGGGGATGAATGATGGTACACTTATGTTTCCTGGTTTTATACATTATGTATGCCAGTCAAGGTTTTACCTTCAAGGTCACTGTTAGACTTTTTATCCCATTTCTACACCTTTCTTCTAACGCCCATTGAAAAAGGCCAATAAGAAGTGTTGTATCTAAAAGTCATAGTTTGATTTCATTATTATGAACTTTTGTGCCCCCCCCCCATCCCACCACATGGTAGACATGGTGACAAAATTGACTAAATTTGCTTCTTGCAATCAGATTGTGGATCTAGCCACTGCTGGTAATAATCTTACTACTTCAGAAAGTTAGAGTTTACAACTATCCATGAATGAAAGAAAGACATTGTTCATAGAACCTTAAAATTTCCTTGAGTATGATAGGTTGCCTTGAGATCTTGAATTTCAAAAGCTTGGTTTATTCTTGACAAATCAATGAACCTTTGAAAACCTCCACCAAAAGTCAAAAACTGTTTGAATATTTCTAAGTGAATACAATACATTGAATTGAATAATTAACACTGAATTAATTACACATTTTCAAGAATTTGTTTTAAATAAAAAATTGGGATAAAATTGGGTTGGTCAAGTATCACACAGCATACTTAGTTAAAGCATCACATGGCACTGGTAGTTATGAAGTAACATATAGAGATGATTCAGTTTTAATAAGATAAAATGTTCATTGAGAATGAACTGCTTGGAAAATAACTATAGGAAAGCTAGAGTAATGTTGTAGACCAAATTTTGAACCATTGAAAAATTCGAGATACATTGATTAGCTAGATTTTTAGTCTGTTCATTTTTTTTATTAAATAATACAAAAATTGATGAATATCTTAAACAAAGATCAAAATACAAAAGGAAAGTGAAACAGAAAATCCATTGATAAACATACACACTATCAGTCAACCCATTTTCCTTGGACTTGAATCCTTAGGGTTACCATCTGTACTCATGTACAAGTCCAGCCCAACTGCAAACATCAACCTTGATGTGTTATCACATAGCACACTTTCAGATCAGGGTGTATGTTGTTTGCTCTACTGATTATTCAAAGCAAACTGTAGTCATAGATTGTGTGATGGCAGATCTGGGTCTGTGTAGTTTGCAGTTTGAGTTATGAGCATGTATGGTAAATCATGCAAAAGAGCACAATCAATGAATGTAATAAGCAGTTGACTGATGTTCAACCAATAGCCATGTATGCAAATCTTATCAATATTACTGAAGGCAAGAAAGCAATCAGTCATTGTGAACACTTGGACTTGTGACTAAAGTATGATCTGCATTGTAGAAAATAAATGCCTGTGATATTTTCCCAGTTCATGTGGCTAAGGTATAGTAAAATATTCTGTTAGCATTTGCTGTCAGATTTTTATAGCACTATACTGGTCATAGACCAAAAATGCTTATGGGAAGATATGTTTTCTATTGTTAATCAGTTTATTATTGCTACTCCTCTTGAACTAAGAAAGGATTGCTATGAAACACATTCATTGTATGCCCCAGTTGGTCCAGATGCAGTTTGCACTTCCAATATGGCCAACACAGTGGCCATCTTGAAAATATTGTTATTGCCACTTCTGAATGGATGATCATATCATCATGGGGTTTTCACTTAAATATCCTCTCATCAAAGGTTTTCAAACAGTGGTCCACAGACTCAAAGGGGGCTGTCACACGTTTCCAAGAGGTCTGCAAGTAGGTTCCAAAAAAGAATAAAAATAGCACATTTGCAAAGTTTTCATTATTATCAACAATTATAAACATAACTGATTACTGAGCTGTCTATTCTGTATTGACTCTGCTCTATTCTATGTTTATTACTTACTTATGTCTTTCATGGATTACATAAAATAATAATAATATAGATTGGCCAAACTTATTAGATAGGCTGATAGGGGTTTGCCATCTGATCATGATATGCTATGGGGTCCACAGCTTAAAAGAGTTTGAAACACACTGTCTTAGCATACATAGTTGGTCTTAAATGAAAATGACAACGATGTGACAATCATTATGGCCACTATGGCAGTTAACTTGAAAACTGTGTTATTGCTGAATGGATGGTCTTGTCCTGATGGGATTTTCACTGCAATACTTCTTGTGATGTCTAGCTAGTCTTAAATGAATCTAATGACAATAATGGCAGCTTGTTATTGCTACTAGTCCAGAATGGATGGTCATATCAAAATGGAGTTTTCATTAAAATAATGTTCTATGATGTCTAGTTATTGTAGTAGGGACATTTGATATGATTCAACTGTTTTCAAATTTTCTGGTCTTGTATATAGCCATGTTGCATAGAATCCACTTTTCAAGAAATGTTCTGCTTCTGCAGTCTAAAACCAATACAAGCAGAATATTTACAGCAAGCTCACCCCATGGCTTTAGGAACATTAATCATTTGGGTTAACAGGTAGTGAGAAGGCAGGCATTTGTGTTTGTGCAAATTAATTAAATTATTATTTACAAGACTTATTAATTAGTTTTAGAATTTGAAAATGTTGATGATATTAGAGACAAGATAGTAGATTAAGTTTCTCTAACTAGCAAGAATAATTTTGTACATTGTTTTGAAAGAAATAGATATTTTATACTTGAATTCTGACAATCTTTGCCAACCTTCCCTATAAATTTCATTTAAGATTTATATTTTGAGGGAGAGGTTGAAAGTGAGTGTGAGTCTGATCAGATATAGTATAATCATTTATATGTTTTTAAATCAACTTCTGGACAACTCATTAGTGAGATATCAAATGTTTAGTTTAATGTAGGAAAACACAGATTCTGTGTACAAGAAACAATTAAGCCAGTTATAGAAATATGATATCAGTAGTCTCCTGTGAAGTACACTAGGACTAAGATATATATATGAATGTGGAGGTGGGAATTTGGAGACAGTGAAAAGTAACCATTAAGAAATATGTAGCCTAGACATTTATTTTGTTTGCTCTACCAGCTAATTCCCCAAAGTAGCTGCCACCCACCCACACATGGCAACTACTACAGTTTCATCATCAGCTACAGCTTTACACTACTACTTCTGAATGGATGGCCATATATACATGAGGTTTTCAGCAAAAGACTTTATTTGATGTCTATTTTGTCCAAAATGAAAATGGTGCTGGACTGGGGTATGACATGGCTACCACAGTGGTCATCTTGAAAATCTTTTCACTGTGTCTACTGATTGAATGGTCATGGAATTTTCAGTAAAATGCTTAGTACTACTCCGGTGGCCTAGTGGTCAGAGCATCCATCTTGGATGTGGAAGGTCATGGGTTCAAACCCTGGCTGAGTCATAAAAAGACTTATAAAAGTGGTACTAACAGCTGCCTCGCTAGGCGCTTTGCATTAAGAGGTTAATGTTAGGATTGGTCTGCCTGGTGTCAGGATAATGTGACTGGGCAGGACATCATGCTACATGACAATGTCATGATGCCTCATTGCTTGATATAACTATAAACTGCCATAATGCAGTCATTGTAGCAATATGACTGAAAAATTGTTAAAGCTACGTTAAAATCCCAAGTCATACAGTCACACGCTAAAAGGCTTATTGTATTCTTGATCTTAGATTGAAATGGTGCTAATTAAATATGTGGCCATCTTGAAAATCTTATTTTAGCTGCTTTTCTCAAAGGGGAAGCCACTTTTAAGATGCAAGTTTTCATCAGATGAGTTGTTATGGAATTTATTTTATCCTAAATCAAATTGACAAATATTTAATATGGCCATCATGGTGTCTATCATGAAAACATTGTTATCTTTACCCTCAAATAGATGGCTATTTCAATAGAGGGTTTGACTTATTATGATGTTAGCTGGACCTTAAATGAAAATATTGCCACTCACATATCCAATATGGCTGCCTTGACTGCTGTCAAGAAAATCTTGTTGTCACTTTGATTGGATGATCATTATGACATTGCATTTGACCAGAAATATAATAATGATATCTACTTTGTCCCAAATGAAAATGGTACCAAGATGCCAGCACAACAGCCAATTGAAAATCTTGTTATTGCTGAAAAATATCAGAGGTGGTTTTAACATTCATCAGTTAAAAGAAAGAATTATTTTATCTTGAATTCCTGAACATTGATGTCTCCTAGTATTTTGTCAGGTCTTCAAGGGACTCCTGTTTTTGTTTTACATTATTTTTTTCATGTACATCATTATGAAATGAGAATGATATTACTTCGATAAGCATTCACCAGACATAAGTTACAGATTGCCTACTATAATAATTCTAATGATGTTTATTTCATATATTCATATGATATTTAAACCTTTCTCAAAGCAGAAGCTTGTGAAAAATATATATTGATACAGCCTTAAGATGATTTTTTTTTCAATTGAGAGAGATTCTTCCAAAATATATAAAACATATATTATTAGTTTCAAGAGGATTTCTTTTTGGTCAGGTTTTTATGTCTGTTTCAGGGACTATGACCATTTAGGTAAATATCACATTTTATGAGATACATATCTTGGTTTGGCAGTTATGTATTCAGTTTACTATGCATCTCATTTAACATGAGCATAAGCGGGCCACAACTTTGACACTGCTATCATTTTGAAAATCCTTATTTTACTGTGAGACATTGGTCTTTTTGTGTGAAGTAGCCCAAATTTCTGATTGATTTATTCTGACTGTTTGAGTCTCATCACATGTAAAAACACAAATAGTTAGAAACAACATGCACAAGTGTTGGTAATATTTCAAGTAATATTTTGTGCATGTTTTTCTACAATAATTCCCTCATTGTCAGCCTGTTTTGGTGTATGCTGGCTGCTTTTACTTTTATTTTGTCTAATAAGAGAAGACAAAGAAGTAATGTGCCATAGTCTTGAGAAAATATTGAATCTTCTTCCCAACATTTTGCATGCCAATATATCAGTCCAATGATGGGATGTTTTAAATGCACAAACTGCTTGTTCCGAATTCTGCCCTTTAGAATGAAAATTGTTTGCTTCAGTTTATGACTATGATGTTCTACCGTTTGAAATAAATCTGTGATAAAATCTGTAGCTGCAAAACAATGATGCTGACTAAGGGCAGAGTCCTTTATTTTCACTTTAGTCGGACAATGTGATATTTCATACTGTCATTGATACTTTTTTTAGTCAGATGACAGTAAAGTAAAAAAAACCTTAATTTAGATTTCCAATGTTGTAAATGGTACTAACTAATTTTTATAAATGCATAGTTTTGTAAAGCATGAATTTGAATATGCAATGTAAAATATATCTTGCTAAAATGCCTTTTTTTTCAAAGGTATTGCAATGAATTAGGTATGATTTGTTTTCAGCTCCTGGCTCAATTAATACTATGCAATCAGGCCATGTGTTGTAAAATTTAAGCTCAACACCACCCAGACAGTGTCTTGTTTACAAAATATTTTGTTATTAAACTTGAACTTAAAACCGCAGTCCAAAATCTGATTCCTTGAGGACTTCTTTGCAACATTAAATTTATCCTTCTTTTAGAGTAACTCTTGTTCAGATAATAATAAAACATCTATGCCTTTTTTCAAAAGGATACCACAACTTTAAGACTGAACTTCAGCTTGATTTTTGTGCTAAAAATGTTTTAGAATTGTATTAATCCTAAAGTTGGTCTTATGTTCTTGAAACTTCTTAAACAAATATTCATTCTCAAGGTCAAAGTCAATAAACTTTGATGAAAGTGTAGGACATTAACTAGAATGACGCCAGAATGACAACTCTTGGATTTATCTTGAGTCCCTCGACTAGAGCCCCAACTTTTTATGACTTAGATAGATCCTAAGTATCTTTTCAAATTGGGGGGTTGTAAACTTGACTTTGAGCTTCTTGCTTCAAAGTTTTCAATGACAAAGGGCTAGTCTTGATACTTTGAGTCTGCATACACAGGTGAAATTTAGTTTGCAGAAGAACCATGTTGTTAGAATGGTAGAACTTTTGATTTCATTCTATTTGAAAGTGTCACAGGTGAAATTTAGTATGCAGAATAACCATGTTGTTAGAATATTAGAACTTTTAATTTCATTCTGTTTGAATATGGGACAGGATATCATTCTGTTTGAATATGGGACAGGTGAAATTTAGTATGCAGAAGGACTATGTTAGATCGGTAGAACTTTTGATTTCATTCTAATTAATGTCTCACAGGTGAAATTTAGTTCTTTGAAGAGCCATATAGTTATAATACTGGTAGAACATTTAATTTCATTGTAATCGAAGTGCCACAGGAATAATTGTGTGTGATATTTGTGCTCAAAATGTTTTGTGTATTTTTAAAACTAATTAAAGATTCAGGAAATAGATTTATTTTTAAAAAACAATAGAACCTCTTCCCCAATCAACAAATTTAAGTACTGTACAGTGTATATGCTTGCATATAAGTTGGCTGCTACAGCCAACATCATACAGTCAGATCTACCAGCACATAATGTGCTGTTAAATCAGGGTCTCCAATTAGTAATTAGGAGTAATTAGTAGTTCAAACATGTAAACTTTGATCTGCCTGTTTTTTATGCAGTTGCAGACCTGGATCCATAAGTGTTGCAGTTGGATCCAGCTGATGTCCACCAACATATCAATTTAAATGCCATCTTTCATAAAAGTCACAAAATTAAATACCATTGAAAATACTGTAAAAATAATTCCCATTTTTTTAAATATCATGGTCATTCTAATGTAAAATTTTACTTCAGTATTAATTGTATTCATGACCATTTATGGTTTTGTTTGCTTGTAAATCCATTTTTATGGGAATAGATGTGAATCATCACCATAAAGCCATTTAAAGCAGTAGTTCAGTTCTGTACATTCAATAATACCAGAAGTGACTCAGTGACCTGAATCAATGGTTTGCTCATCACATAGTCTGTATTTGCTATAGACTTTATGTAATCATGAAGAATTTATCAGCATATTCAGTGGGTCAATCAGTGCCTGCTATCTAGATGTATTGATGGATTAAATCATTAGTCATCCACAATAAGGCATTTGTTGTAGGGGCCCCAAGTGGCCAGTAGTCTAAAGCACTCTCCATTATGGATCACTGCCATCTCACCTCTGTCTGAGTGGGTTGAATCTAAGAATCAGTGAATGTGGATATTTCCGAAATCTTTCTTCCTCCACCATTAATGCTAGCCGACATGTATAGCCTATCATGTGTTGAAAAATGGTGTTAAGCCCCACAACAACAACAACAGCATTTCTTGTATATGATTCTATTACAGATATCATGTTTAAATTCTGATGGCATATGGCAGATTCTACCCCAACCATAGTCTTACTAATATTTAACTTTTTATACCCTCCAATTTTTCATCACACCCTTAGTCCATAAATTAATTTTTTTTACCCATGTTTTATGTACAGAAACTTTTTGCTTATTTTGTAAATTATTTTACTTAGGAATTTACTGAAAAAATGTTATTTAGCATTTGTTTGCTGTTAATTATTGATTTGCCCAAAAATAATATTAAATATTTTTAAAAAATATACAAAAAATTGCAACTCCATGGGTTGGAAGAGGAGTGAAGAGAGGAGCTATTTATATGAATTTTAAATGTACAATACCACTTTAAAAACTCAAAGCATAGTGGGACCTATAAGCTTGAATTGACTGTTAGGTAGTTGCAAGTTCTTAGCTCTGATGGTCATAGACCAGAAGAGCTTATGGGATGGTTTGTTCTTCATTGTCCATCACCAGTTCATCTGCTATCTCTTCTCCTATTGAACTACTTACAGAATTGTTTTGAAACTTTACCTATACATTCATCCCATGGTCTAGATGGCCATAACATGAAAAAAATGGGACCAATTAATTGTCTAGTAAACCACCAGATGCCATTTTGAAAATCTTATCATCTCTACTTCTCCTAAATAGATATTTATATCAAAATAAATTTTTACTAGTTGACCTTAAATGAAAATGATGTTGATCATATAGCCATTATGGCTGTCACAGCAGCCATTTTGAATATCTTGTCCTCTTGAATGGAAGGTCACATCAATATGGGATTTTCACTTAATACTTCTTGTGATGTCTAGTTGGACTTAAATAGAAATCATGCTTATCTGATCATAAAACCAGATATAAATACTACAGGTCTTGATTTAATCCTTTTAACCACATTTGCTGAATGGAGGCAGCAGGCAGATTGTTCTGTGCAAAGATGCAAAAACAAGATGATGACAACTAGTAGAGTCTGGTTGCTTTTTTGTTACATGCAACAGTAACTTTAGTAATGAGTTAAAAAAAGAATGATGTTGGTACATGACAAAAGGCATTTCAGGATGACCA